CTGGGGAATTCTGGGAGTTGAAGTCCACACATCTTGAAGTTGCCGAGGTGGAGAAACACTGCTTTAAACTGATTATTTGCAACGGCAGAAGAGTTGCAGATGAATCTGGATTGGGTCTGCCTCCTTTCTGACTGTCCATATTTTGCAATTTTTAAAGCCCCCCCGACCGGTTTTTCCAGGGAACTGAACTGAAACGAGAACCCTTTGAGAAATACAGCCGTTGTGCCCGGAAACTGAGCCTTGACTGCCCCACGCCTTGCACAAAACCCAAATTGCAAAGAAATTCTCCCCTGGGGCAGGAGGGAAGGGAGCTGCTCCGCCTTGAATTCCAAGGGCGAGCTGGTGAACGGGAAGGAAGAAGTTGGGGCTGGAAAACCGCTGGGTAAATAACGAAAAAAAATCTCACCCACGTCATGTAACGTTACTCAAATCGTCCAGAAGGTCTGGGCAGGCTCATCAGGCAAGCAGCAGCCGAGTGTGCAGAGGTGTTCCTTGGGTTCGGTGCATCGGACGCTCCAGATGTCTCGCAGAATCACGGTGCTGGTGATCGGCGCCGGGAACCGGGGGAAGAATTATTCTGCCTACGCCTTGCACTACCCTGAACGCATGAAGGTAAATTGGGCCGTTGGGTGGTTGGTTGCAGAGCCCGCCAGATGTTTAGGCTGGGCTTGGCATTTTTATCCACCGATCGAGTCCTTCCCCAGGATCTGGGATAGGCAGATGTTTGAATTGTTATGATGGGTGGTTGCAGTGTCCGCCAGATGTTGAGACCGGATTTGGCATTTTTGTCCACCTATCGAGTCCTTCCCCAGGATCTGGGATAGGCAGATGTTTGAATTGTCATGATGGGTGGTTGCAGAATCAGCCAGATGTTGAGACTGGATCTGGCATTTTTGTCCACCTATCGAGTCCTTCCCGAGGACCTGGGATGGACAGATGTTTGAATTGCTATTATGGGTGGTTGCAGAATCAGCCAGATGTTGAGACTGGATCTGGCATTTTTATCCACCTATCGAGTCCTTCCTTAGGACCTGGGATAGGCAGATGTTGTTTGATGGTGTTCAAGGTATCATGGCAGGATGGAAGCTGGTCCAACGGAAGTAAAGCTGCCTTGGCAATGGACTGACGGTGATTTTCTCAATGCCGAGGGCCTTCAAGGGGTGCTCCAGGTTATTATTATAATTATTATTATTAGGTTCTTTTGTTCTTTGTGTTAAGGAAGAGTCATCCCTAAGGCAGTGTGGATTAGCCTCTGACAACTAACCTTTGCCCCTGTTTTGGGGGGGCAGGGGGTACAGGATCACATCCCACTGCAAATTTGGCTGGATTTTAAATCCCTCTCTCTGGTTAAACGTGTTTATTCATCACTGACGTCTTGGCTTCCGAGCGTTCAGTCGGGGTCCGTAGCAATTTAATTTTAATTCTTCTAATTCTTGAACAAGGCTTTGTTTTGCATCGGTTTGCAAAAGAGCTCCCCCCCCCCCGATTTCTGAAATGAAACCTAAGAATT